AAGTTAGTCTTCTTTGAATAAACAATGTCTCAGACCAATTTTAAGACCCGTTTATGAAACGGTTTCAGCCTTCGCTCGACATTCGGGTCAAGTGGAATCAAGTAATACATCAAACACGAGACGCACCGTTTTCATGAGATAGCTAAACACTGTAAAGAGGGTCGAAGACGAAAGCTCCTAACATTTAGTTGAAGGAAATGATTAGACCCATTATACCGGCTTTCAATTCCTTGACACATCCATTACAATAATAAACCCTCCGAGCAAGAACAAACCAGTGCAAAAGTTAATTGCAAAATACGTATTCGACCGCTATGAGAAAAGAAGATCATTAGTTCTTTAGGTTAACATTGATTATAGTTCCACTAGTTGTGCAATGTGTGTTATGATTTTAAATTATTTGGATAAAGTCGATGTACATAGGGTTGTATGAGACTCCAGCATTGTCTTGTCTTGTCTTGTCCACGACAAGGAATAACACACAAACTGCGGTTACAAACATCAGAAATAACAAACGCTTTGTATAACTGACTCTTATAATATCGAACTTGACGTTTCGTATGCCGTTCAACATCCGTCTTCAGAAGTGACAGTTAACATGAGAAGTAACTTAATTTAAATAGTAATAATAATAATAATAATAATAATAAAAAAAACAAAGTTAGACAACTAACTAATTAAAAGTGAGTTATACAATGAGTTTGTTGTTTCTGATGTTTGTAACCGCAGTTTGTGTGTTATTCCTTTTAAAACTGAAGTGCATGGCCAAAAACCAAGAGCATCCATTTAAGCTGTTAACGTTAATAGATACCGTTCTGTAGATATCACAGGTTTAGAGTTCAAGAAGACCTGTATAAACTCACCTGCTGCAAACCTTTTCAATAGAGTTCTGATTTATGGTAACAAGACTGACTGGAGTCGAATTTGGTTTGTAATCATACAACTGCTTGAGCAAAATTTGGTCGCACAGCGGGAGTCCGATATGTTTGTTCATCACGAGCAAAGTCACAGGCAAAATTGAAAGACACGAACTTCTGTTACCAATTAATCATAACTAAAACTAAAAATTGTCATAATTTGTGTTAATTACAACTTTTGTTTCTTTAAAACAAGATCTCTCGTGAAGGAAGAACCCAACAAGAGCAACTGTAATGCGTACTTTAGCGCTTACTGTCCAATGATGTGTACTGCGAAATGCTTAAAATGTCCAATAGATGCTGACATCAAGGCTGCCGATGGCCAAATTTAAATTGGAGAATTTTGTTATATTTATGACTGGGAAAGGAGTTTTCCCGCAGCTTTCGAGAGGTTTATTATAGACAACATCAGATGTCTTTCTAGGGATGTATTAAATTAATTCTTGTGATCTCGGGCGTGTTCTATCTGAGTACAGCATGTGCTGCCCAGACCAAAGTTTAGTTTCTTGTACCGAGCAGGGGCGTAGTTAGGGGGGAGGGGGGGGGGGGTCCTGGGGTGCCCGTGACCCCCCTTGGTAGGCCTTCTTTTGAGCAAACAACCTACAATATTCAGGTGGCGAAAACGCCATGACAATATATTGGCCGTAAAAGCCCTTGTTGAAAAGCCTACTTTTATAAATTTGTTTTTTTGTAAAGTAATTTCGTCAACGGCTCTTGTCGTTAGCGCACGGCGTGGAGGTCGACATCGGTCGACATGACAATCTGGTGAGTAGCCTCTGTGACCCCGCCTTTGAAAAATCCTGGCTACAGTCCTGCCGAGGCTGAATGTCGCCGGGACTTGCATTAACTACAAGTCCTCTAGAAAAAGAACGAATGTCGCGGCCTATCAGAGTCAGCCTCAGACCGATCCATTCAACTTTGACACGCACAACAGCATTAACAAGATTTATTGGCATGACTGAAACTACAGTAGACTCACAGTAGTGTAAAAGTACTCAAATAAATAAAAGGAAAACAAAACACGGAAAACACAAGTCACAAAATTAAATGATAATGATTAAATTTTAGTAAAAACAAGAAAATATTCGTTCATGAGGTAAATTATGGAAAAATTTTCACAGGGATATTAGAGCGTTTTCACTCACGGGGCCAACATTTGTGAAAGTATTGGAACAAAAGAAAAGAGAAAAGAGTTCAACTCCCACAGGACTTGTTTGAAACACCAGCATGCCGTTTAATTGTTTTGAAACATGAGGACGGAATCCACCATGGGGAAATGGAGTAATTTTAGTTTTCAGTAGAGAAAAACCTTGTACCAGAATAATTTGAAGAATATTGCATTCTTTTTTACATTTTTACGGGCTAAAGATGCAATTAGTCATCTGTGATAACAGCAAAGAAAATTTCTTATGGGAGCCCGAGAATTAATGTCAAATTTCACAAAATTACATCTTACACATGGAATTTTCCGAATTTTACCTGTGTTTTCACAATTCTTGTGAAATTTGACATTCATTTTCTCGGACTCCCATGAGAAACTATCTTTGGTGTTATTACAGATGACTAATTGTATCAGTTCTTTAGCCCTATAAAAATGTTAGGCAAAAACCACTGAAAGTTAAAATTACTTAATACGGCCGCCGTGACGTAATGTGAAAATGCTCTACAGACAGCACGCGAAGCGTCGGCGCGAGATCCCGCTTTCCCACTCGCTCCAGACCTTTTGTTTGACTGCTCGCGAGTTTTTGACGTACGCAAAATACGGGCTGTTTCGCAGTCTAAAGGGATGCAGGCAATTGCACCCCACGAAGTCGCCAGTTACGAAAATTAAAACATAAATATTAAATACCATCAACTGAGTTGAACTGATTGAAGCGCTCCAAAATTTAAAAAGCTGACATTTCGAAGTTTGAGAGGCTTCGAGCCTACATATATCTGAGCATCAAGTGGGCCTGGCCCAAGCCTTCTAAACTTCCACCCAATTAAAATATTGAGAAAACAACAGACATTTGTATGTACAGTGGTAATTAGCAAAAAACGGTCTAATAATTAGATAATACTCAAATAATAGTACACATAGACATTATCAACTGATAGTGCTGAAAGTTAAAGCAAAATAACCTTCTTATAGTCAAACAGTTGTCAACTACACAAATATACCACTGAAAGGTTTATAATGATAAGTTCAAGAGATTAGTTTATAAATTACTTCCAGCTGGTTCTATTGGGTAGTTTTCTAGAAAAATCTACAAGAGGAAATTTGTGGCTAATCCTTGCCTGGCACATGTTGAACTAATAGACAAGTTTCACTTCCCTAATGACACACTAAATAGTTGCATTAATATGAAAGTGGGAATTCGATGATAAACATCTTGTGAGGGCACAAAGAAGTCAATGAATTTCCACACTCTTCCTTTTGGTTACCGGCTAGGTGCATGATTCGACATCTGCATGTTCTGTCGGACTCCTCTTCCTCTGACCCGGTTAAATTGTCAGCGACAGAGCTCGGGTTACTGTCACCAATTCAGGGTCCAAAAATGACTTCCTGTGCCTTGTCTGAAAAAAAAAGGCGTGAACAAAAATTACTTTTGTGATGAGAACATGTTAGGGAAATTGGGAAATTGCTACTAATGTGAGTGGGTTACGCAGTTGTATTATATGGCTACAATAGTACGAGCGCCCTGATTGGCTGTTTTCTTGTAATGACCGGGAATTACTAGCTAGGTGTCCAAGACATATTCAATCTGTGTATAACTTGATAGTGGACATCCTTATGGAGATCCATATTATGGTCAATTGACAGCTGTCAAAAAGGGTATCCGCTAACCAGTGTCACCTGACTGAATCGCTGGCTCAAGTGCACAACTCGTTGAGGTGACTTGTTTTTTATAGTTATCCGCTGACCAGTTGTTGGTTTTAAATGATCGCAGGCTCATGTCCATAATGGAAAGGCCATACAATAAATACGTTATTAACCTTATTAACCTCGTCTGTTCGGTCTTTACAGGGAAATCTCAGACCTCGTCCTTGATTTATTGACCTCCCCATCGCTCGGTCAATAAATCAAGGCCTCGGTATGAGATTTCCCCGTAATTACCTCACTCTCGTTTAAAAAGTGATTTGTATTATAGTTACTAGTTTTGGGGATCTTTTAAGAAACAAGGCAGAAAAAATTGACACTTTTTTGCATTGTTTGTGGTTAACATTGTTCGTTCCTCGGAGATATTAGCTATTGTAGCTACTCCACTTTTTGGTTGTAACTTGTTGCATCTGTTGGAACACTTTGGTGAACGGAAATTGATGTTGTTAGATGTAGTTGTGTCAGGATTAAATGAGTTCTGAGCTCGTTTGCTAATATGTAATTTAGCCAGAGCTAAAAGCGAAGCTCCCGTTTACGCATTTTAAATTTACTTCAGACAATGGACTTTAAACCATTGCAAAAAATTCACAAATCTATTTTAACTTTAGGGGAAAACCATATGACTGAAAAACATAAACTTGAGCCTGCGATCAATTAAAAGCTAACAACTGGTCAAAAAAGCACGTGACTTCGATGAGTTGGCACCTTAACCCGCGATACGGTCATGTGACACTGGTCAGCGGATACCCTGTTTGACAGCTGTCAATTGACCATAACATGGATGTCTATTATCAAGTTAAACACTGGTTACAGGCTCCCACACTTGCGAGAAAGCTTGACCTTTCACATTGGTTACCCTGTAGTGCGGACGGACGGGAAGTAGTGTAGTGCGGGAAAGGTCTATTAGGTTGGTTCGGTGATGATGGAACGACTACTTGCTATTTCTGAACTGAGTAAATCTTATATTGACAAAATGGATTAAAAGGAATACCGGAGAATGATATGGAATCTAAGTACTTAGTAGAAAATATTTCTTACCTTGTTCACCAAAGTATTTTCAATGGAGGTTGGGATTTTCAGTTGCTGAAGACGCTCCATTATCAGGTCGATCTTTTCTTCAACTGAAACAGAAATTTAAACTATATCACTGTCTACCGGTGTTCTATATTAACGAGTTTCCAAAAAAAGGCTTTCTTGTCAAAAAAAGGTTTTCATTGCCGTCG